ATTAATGCATATATTATTGAAGTATACAATGCAAACAACAAAAGATGAAGATTTGTGTATAACAAAGTGCATTATTATGATAAATATTTGAAATCTGTAATAAATCAATGTAATTTAAGTTTTACATAGTAAATTATTTTCAACTTGTACCAGAACACACAGATTGTAACAGATTACACAGATTGTAAACATTTTTTTTCTGCCAGCTGCAAAGCAATTATCACTGGCACATGTTCATGTTATCTCCAAATGATATGTCTTCCTTGCTTTTTATCTTATTCAGCCAGACCATATAAATAGAACAATACGAACAAAACAGCCAGTTTTTATTGGCTCTAATATTTACAACTATGTACACGTGCATCAAAATATAAAATACCTTATATTATTTTTAACATGAATAATTCTTAACAGAAACCGAAACCAAAACGGTCAAACAACTGAGATCATTAAAAATAGCAATATGTACATTGTACAGTGTGCATGCATTATAGGTTCCCCTTCTCAATAAAAAACATAATTATATGGTTAAACATTTAAACTATTTAAAAGTATAATTTCATGATTTCCAGCAAGAAAACTAGTACAAAGTTCCAATGTATTTTAGATTTATTAAGCTCAAAATTCTGTTATATTTTGGATTATATTTTGGGTATATAGTGGATGTATAAAGCAAATTTCCATTGAGTTATATACTTACCCCAGTTCTTATATCTCTGGGGCATAGAGGTCAAAATGGTATAAAGCAAATCCAGTTATTTCATGAACAATTTATAATAATCCCAGTATGTGAATCCATCTCAGATCTATTATTCCTGTCCTTTTAAATGTCAGGTGACTTTGCTAAGTGCAGCCAAGGACAAAATGATAAAGCTTTGTGACTCAATGCAAGTACACAGGAATATTTCACCTAGATCCTTACTGCCATTATTGCTGTTAAGTGAAATGGCACTGCTGTGAAGAATCATGAAACAGTGACCTTGGAACAGCTGATGAATCTCTCTAAAATCTTAAACTGAATTGACTGCAATATCTCAAGCCACTTCAATAAGCAACTTTAAGGAAATAACATTAGAGAGACGACAACAGAAACAAATCTCAAAAGAGCATTTTAACTGTATAAATATATACAGTAGAGATATATTTTAAGGTTTTCATATTCAGCATACAAAGTAATAATTTAAAAGAATATTAAGTCCATCTTAGATATTTTAACAGAATTTATTATATATATATTGTGTATTTTTGTATAGGAATATAACATCTTCAAGCAAGCAGGAATTTTCTATTTCATGTGTTAGACATTAGTGTCTTAACATCTTCACAGTATAGAAACTGCCCTGGTTAAAGTCACTAATGATCTTCTAATGGCTTATGATTCTGGTTCTCTTTATCTCCTTATTCTTCTTGATCTAAGTGCTGCTTTCAACACTGTTAACCATGATATCTTACTTTCCCGTCTTGAGAAAGTCTGAGTCTTGTCTTGAGATTGTGTTTGGAGTTTCTGACACTGCTCCTAATGGTTCAAGTCTTACTTCACTGATCACTGCCACTTTGTCTCTCTTGGAGGATTTAGCTCTCAAATTGGACCTCAGGGCTTGATATTGGGCTTTTCAGCATTTAAATGTTCCCACTTGGTCAGCTTTTAAAATCGAATGGCACAAATCATTTCCCTGCCGATGATACTCAAATCCACATCTATACCAAACCCTGATGTGGCTGTCTCTGACATCTCTAATTGCATTTCTGACATAAAACCATGAATGACTCAAAATTTCCTTCATCTTAACAGACAAGACTGAAGCCATGCCTACCAGAACCCCCATCAACTTTGTAAAACCAATGCAGTAACCCTATCTGTGAATGGTACTGTACTAGAGCTTCAGTCAAAATTGAAGGAGGCGAAAACTTGGAGGTGATGTTTGATTCATGTTTGAAATTTGACCCACATGTGCAACATATTGTTAAAACATCATTCTTTCACCTCAGAAATATCACCAGATGAAATCCTATGTTATCACTAACTGCTGCTGAAAAGCTGGTCAACACATTTGTCATCTCCCAAATTGACTAATGTAATGCTCTACTCAGTGGGGATTCTAAATCCACATTAAACAAACTTCAGTATGTCCACAAACTTGGAAGCCTGTCAGGTTTTGTGTCAGTTTCAGAATCCTCATGTTCACTTAAAGGGCTATGCATGGTTTGGCACCTCAGTACCTGTCTGAGCTACTATCATCCTGTTCCCCACCTTGCAACCTTTGCTCTTCTAGTTCTGATCCATATCTGTCCCTGAAGCCCATCCACACTTTCCTGCTGTGCTCTGAAAAAAAAGCTCCGAAGCTCAATCCCTAAGGATATCAGAGAGTCACCTCCCCTGAACTCTTTCACATCTAGACTCAAAATCTTCTTCTTTAGAAGGGACTTTACTTAACTGCTTCTTAAGTATACCCTTATATATACCCTTTGGCTCCTACTTTAGTCCGTACCCCCCCATCTACCATCTCCTGTCATTGTGTATTATCATTGTGTATATATTATTACTAAATAAAGTTTTTATTATTATTATTATTATTATTATTATTATTATTATTATTATTATTATTATTATTATTATTATTATTATTAACATGGCACAAGTGTCCAGTGGTTAACATTGCTGCCTTGCATCACTGGAGCCCAGGTTAAATTCCAGATTTGGGATGTTATCTCTGGGGAATTTGTGTGTTCTGCAGTGTTCCTGTGAGTTTTCTCCTGGTGCTCCAGTTTCCTCCCACTGTTTAAAAACAACCTGGCAGTTTACCTGGCTTCCTGGAAAACTGACCCTAGTTATGAGTCTAAAAATGTCTGTTTTTGTATATCTGCCCTGTAATGGACTGGCACCCAGTCCAGTGCGTGTTCTGCCTTGTGTCTGTTGCATGCCAGGAAACTGTGTGCTCTGGCTCCCCTGTGACCCTAAATTGGATTAAACAGTTAGAAAATGGATGAATGTATGTCTTAATATCATCTTAATTATTTTTTTAAAGCATAAGAACAGACCTCAAGGGTAGGGACTGTTTTAGCAACTTCAAGGTTTTAATGGATAAGAAATGCTCCTGCTCAAATCCACATTAATGTCAGATGACCAAGCATATTAATCAATAGTTTTGAGTGGACATAACAGTGCTCACATGCTTTACACACATTACGTGTACTGACTACTTCAGATGCAATGCACATACTGCTCATCACTTCACTTATCACTCATCAGATGCTCTAAGTTCAAAATGTGGTTTGAGACAGCTGAAACAGAACAGAAGAGTTAAAGGAAAAAAAACTTTACATACATTTAGAATCGGTGTAAACAGAACAGCCATTTGTGTATGACTTTTTATCTTCCTAATTTAGTGCCAATGACAAGTCAGCTGCCTTCAGTTAACAGAATTTGTATGGTTTTGCTTTGCATATTTCACAGTATTTAGAAGAGATGTTGAACATTAAAATGCATAAAGAAAATTAAATAACCCCTTTGTCAGTATTTCTAGAAGTTAAATTCCAGCTAAGTGTGGGTTCGAGTTCATTTAGAAAACTGGCTTATTTCCAAGTAGGCTAATATTTTCCAGAATCAATTCAACCTAAGCACTTAAATACAAGAACTGACATTAAGAGCTTTTATTGGGTATGATATTGTCTTTAAGTTTCATTTGAACGAAGATACCTGTTGAATAATGATTTTGGAATCATTACCAAATGAACTTAAATGAAGATGACTAGCGACAGCTAAAAGAACAGACTAGGCCTACATGTACACAAAATTGAATGGGTGTATCAGAATAAAGTTTCATGATTTTAAACTACTAAGACTAATTATCTTACGTAGTCTTACAGTATAAGAGTCCTCCTGGATTTAATGCACATCCACAACACATATACTCCAGCAATGCCGTTACCAGGCTGTACTGTAGATCATGTTTAACTGATGCAATCTGGGGGAATTACCTTATTCAAACATAAAACAACAATGTCCAAATCAAACCCCTATACCCAATGACCAAAGTCCAGAGGCCAAGCCATACCGCTACCTGTAAATAACACAGGAATATGAACTGCCTCATTCAAAAGAGGGAAGCAACAGCATTTTGTTGAGGTGCAGTAGAAGCACTGATACGTATGTTATTCAAATCTTCTCACAATATATATGGTAACATGTGGAACATATATATTAACAAATATTACGTCAGGACGTAAACGTGACTATTTAAGTAGTGCCAATACACTTAACCGTTTTTTAACTGGCTAAACCAGTTATTTTGTTCTCTAGCAGGCAGATAAAGTACTGTATACAAAAACAAAAAACCCTTAGCAGTATGCAAATCAGACATGGTAATTTATAACATTTTATGAAAACTGAAAGACCACAAATTGTAGCTTTAATTTATGGGTGAAAATGTCATGTCGAAAATACCAAACCAAGAAACTAAGGCTATTGATGCTGATTGGAATGATCAATCAATAGAACAGGCCTGGATGTTTGCTCTATTGAAATGAAATGTGGTCCGAAATCTAATTTTAGGCCCAATATAGTCATTTTTAAAATGCAGTACACATCAGCAATATCACTTAAATTAACACATGCAGTGTTCATCTGTTCAATTTCCATTCATAGAAGACGATGAGAAAGAAACAGATATTCTCCCAAAAGCACAGCTGTCTCACAGGTATGGTATCTGTGGCCATGCAGAGAGCATAACAATTAACAATTGATTCCGTAAATGTGCTGTAGAGTCAGTTTTTAGATTTCTTTGTAGAATTTGTGATACAATATTTCTTTCTTGGTTTTGAATAAAAAGTCTCTAGCTGTATACATGGCGTTACACACAAATATAAGTAAAAGGTTGGAAAGATTATTAATGGAGGATATAGAGCATGGCCTATCTTGTGCATAAGTGGACAAGATCATAGGTAATCAATCATTTTTCCACCTGCTGGACAAGTTTGGCTCCTTGTTGTTATATACTCACCTCCAGCATACATAGATGCAAGCATGATGGAAGACACCCAGGCTATTTCACTGTATGAAGTGGAGAAATATTCCTGGATTTCCTTGAAATAAATTGTCAAGGCCTTTGGGAAGGCATAGGAGAATCCAATAGAAACAAAGGCCCCAAATACCACAACCCACCCCCATCCGCCATCTGGAGGTGTATATCCCAAATTTGTAGATGTGGGAGGTGGCATGGCTTTGTTTTTTGTCAGGAAGATCCTGTGTAGACACACAAAAAAGAAAGAGGAAACAAACTGATTTAGACACAGTGAGCAAGTTTGAAATCAAAGCAGACAAAAACATTTATTTTCTAATGGTCTGAGTTCATTCTTGGGCCCCCAGCATTTGGCAGTTTTAGAAGCCATTTATCTAAAATATTTACCTTAATAATGGGCGTGACTCATAGGTTACACTTGAGTGTATAAATGAATCTTCCTTGAGCATCCTGGTTAAGAACACAAGATGACAGCAGTTTTTGTTGTCAACTGTTTATCACTTTTAATTTTACAAAATGCCTTCAAAGAGATTATCATGCCGTTGCTGACATGATCAGATTCTAGCAGGCAGACAATAACTTACAAAGCAACAGACAGTATGTATTAGACAGTGAAGATGTAAAAGTGTACCTGAGACATAGGACCTCTGATATTTAAGGTAAGCCAATGGGAATTCTTTAGGGAGTTTAGTCAGGCCAAGTCTCTTACATTATCTTGTTGATTGAGGCACTCACAATTGCCTGGACTCGCATCTGAGTCTAGACAGTCAGGCAACTTCACAATTCATTTAACCATGACCCATCCATTCTTGGTCAGGTCATTTAACCAACTGTGTTGGAGACAGTAGTGTAACAAAAAGAGTTCTGTTGTAATATAAATAGAACATTAGACATAGAAGATGAAGGGAAAACACAGAAGGATCAATCAAATACAGGAGAAAAAGAAATAGCACAACGAGGGGACCCATCATTTCCATGCCAGGCTACAATATACAATACAGGACAGCAAAGAGTTTGCATGAACAATGCGAGAAAATTAAAATGTCGTTAAATGCAATGATAAGTGAAGCATTTTGTTAAAGAAGGTGAGATCAGGAGTATCTGATCTGTATTGTATATTGTGTTCATTTAGGGGATTTGAAGTTACTTGTGTGACAGTGTGTAGTGGGAGGCGCCGCAGCGAGCACTGGTAAAAAGTCCAAGTCCTGGGCGAGGGGACGGAAGCAGTGGAGTGAGGATAGCAAGGACCAAAAATAATACAAAAAGAGTGACACACTAACAAAAAGGCGAAAATAAATTGTAGCGATGTGCCTCAGTACCTCCAGGCTGGGCTTACCCTATTTAAAGGGGTCCGGCCTAGGACAAAAAAGAGCTGCAAGCACAGCAGCGACCAGACTGGACTTACCCTATTTAGCGGGGTCCAGTCTGGAGAGCAGGGCACATAAGGCAAGAACATTACAAGAACGTAGTACGTAAAAACAAAGTGTGGGTATGCCTGCCCTTGTGAACGTGCATGATGGGACAGACAAAAAAGAAAAAAGGAAAGAAAAAGACAGCATTATGCGGGTACAACCCCCTCTGGGACTGTCGGTGTAAACTCCCCTCGTCCTGGGGTGGCCCTGCTCATCCTGTCGGGGGGTGTGCAGTGTGCCTTTATAGGACCCGCCGAACTGGGGCTCATCAACTAGAAGCCAAGACAGCTGGGACTACAAAAACGAGGCACTGGAAAGGCCCCCGCGTAATGCCACACAAGTCTTGTACATTTAAGTTAATGGAGTCATTGAGATCTAATTTGTTAACAGGTCATGTGCAAGAACACCACGTCTGGCTGCAGTTTCAGTACAGGACTTTTCTTGTCCTAATGTAACGATGTAATATAGTCCACCCATGGCAGGTCACAGGACCTCCTCAGCTTTTGACTTTCCCCTGTTTCACAGCAACTCATACATTACTTGGAAAGAAAATGCTGAAATCACAAGGTTGCTTGCGACATAAAGGGAAAAGAAGCTTGGAACGTCATATTGTATGAGAAAATTATAGTGAAAAACTGCTTGGGAAATAAATATTTATTTCTGTTGCAATTTTAACTATAATAAAAAAGTAAATTAATTGAACAGTAGGATATGTAGATGAAAAAGGTTTTTTTTTTTAAATTCTCCAGTAGTTAAATCTTTATCTTGTGAAAAACATTTCCTTTTGGTGAAGGTGTTATGGTACGTTATACAGCATAGCACTTGCACCGAGCCCTCAGTTTGGTTTGGTCTTTCATTCTTTCATTTCAGCTTTTATTTCTGTTGCTTTTGTTTTGTTATGGTCATTCTGGAGTTGACAATTGTAACAAAATAGTTTTTTTTAATAATATAATTTATAAGTATAATTTCTACTATCATGTTCTTTAAGTTTTGTGTACCAAACTGAAAAGCAATTTGAAGATGTGGTATTTAACTTAGTTCAACTGTGTAAAAGTGTCAAATATTTATTATTCTATTGATATAATAATGTTAACTGAGTAAAATTGCAAGCATGTTATAAAATCTGCCCATTTATTTCCCAGTTCACATTTGTGTTGCTGTATCAGGACTCTTGTATCGCAATCCATTCATCATCAATACTCACCCCTAATATAAAATACACCTTTGTCCTACAGGAAGTATGACTTGTTAAATATTGGCAAAGAAATCCATTTTAAGTATTTGCAGTAAATGAGTCTGACATGTACTGTTGTCTTTCATTTGAGGAAAAACAAAGAAGCCCCCATCTCTCCAGATGCACAAACAAACTAAAAATGAAGAAGAGACTATTTCCATTTTTCAAATAGTAAAAGAGAACAGAAAAAATAAAACTCAAAATAAGAGAGATTTTAAGATACAAAACTGATTTATATGATTCTGGCAATAAGACTGTAGAAAGGGAAAACTAAATTCATACATTAGCTTTTATATGTGATTTAAATTTGACACTAGTGACTCTACACTGCATGTGACTTTCAGTCATGATCAGTCCAACAGCTTGTGCTTTACCTGTACACAATGATTAATAGAAGGTGCCACTTTAAATCCTTCTGTGAATGATGGGAAAAAAACAGTTCACAGAAACATTGTGAAATTCCTCATTCACAGAGAAAGGATGTCTTCAATTACCACAGAACTCAAGTCATTACTAAAACACAAGGGTGTCTTACTAAACACATTACTAAAATATACTGGTGGCTCTCAAGGGAGCCAGGAAGTCCTTGGGCTTTGTCAGTGGCTGTTCAAAAGGGTGCCCAGAAACAAAGGGAAACTTTGAACAAGTGGAAGCAGTTCGCAGTCAGTCAGCATTCTCACATAGCGGACCTGTTCCAACAGCAGCTAGGGTGGATTTGCTAACCAACAGTTCTGCTTTATAATATTTTAAAACCAAAACTGTACTGATTATCAATTTATCGATAACTGTCAAATGGTCTTTAATTATTAATAACTATACTGTGTTTAAAATGGGAATCCTGACAGACCCTTGATTTTACCATCTGTTTTAAAATACTATTTAAAATGTGTCAAAAAGTCATGAAAACTTCACTTTTTAGCTACGGATCCTGATTTTAACGGGTCCAAATACTGGTCCGTTTTTTGAGGAAGTTTTTTTTTCCAGTTATTTTGTGATGCTACTGCATCACAAAATAACTGAAGTTTAATCAACCCAGACACATAGAAGCTTGATATGGCGTACTGTAGTGACACGTTCCCATAAATGTAATTCACTTCACATTAATTTAAATATACTAACGCATAACAAACTACCAAATAGTTAATTAGTACTGGGTTAAAAAAAGCAGATTTTAAGTTTCCAAAATATCAAGCTTAAACAGTGTACTCCTTGCGTTTGACAACTTTGGGACATTTTCTTAAAGCTGGGTTGAAAATACCTGACAGCTAGCTAAAGGCGGAACAATCCTTTAAAAAGTAGGCTACTAACTGCAGCAACTCCAGCACAAATGCAAATCTATAGGCATTGGGGTTGAAAACGTTTGGTTTTTTTCAAAGAAAACCAAATGAACAAAGACTTCTGTAAAGGAGTAAAGGTTTACACAATATCTTCTAAAGTTATACATTGTTTTTGTATTACTTTACAGTAACTACAGCAACTGGCTTAAAGCTTTGATTAAAGTACAAACTACGCCGTACATGTGGAGGCAGAAGTTTTAAACAAAGTTGCTTCACTAACACTTACCTTGCTTTAAAAAAAAACACAGGATTAAGAATACATGAGAATGCACAACATACGTGTAGAAATACTTACCTCTTATGAATGGAAGACGTATGAGTTACGCTCCAGATCCTCAGATGGTTCTCTCTGCTACAACGTTCGATCTCACTTTTTTCAAGTTTAAATCACGTGGCTTTCTTTGCCGGCTTCTGGAGTCGCTACTGTTTTATAACCTTGGGACTTCACGTCGTTCAACAACGCTAAAGCTACTTAAAATACTTGGCGATAGAGGGGGAGTTTGTGTGTGGTCAAATCCTTGTGAAACAATATGCATTTGCACTCTAAAGCTGATTTTTAAAAAAAAAACACGTTTTGCATTTAAACGTTGTGTCGGTACTGTACAGTGGTTGTTTGTAAAATAGTATCCAGTGTGAACAGGTTCCAGCAGCACAAAGCAATCTAGAAAAAAAAAACAGTAAGCTATGCTGGTAGAGCACGTCAAGCATTACAAAAATAAACTTTTAAAACCATTCTTTACAAAATATTGTTCACACCTTATTTGGATACTTCCGTATGTATTCACACTACATTACCTTAATGAGTTCTGTAGTTCATTTGGAGGCATAAAAAACTTTTGTGCACAGTTTCTATTCGTGAAACATCAAAATAAACTCATATCCAAAAAACGTGACCGCATTTTACGGCTACCAGCCCAAAGCCCTGTGCAATAAACAAGATAACTTGAAACATATACTGTATCATCTCTCTAGTTCAGGTAACGTACTGTATGTTGTTGAAACATAACTTCTTTGAAAAGTTTAAATGCACACCTTGATAACTAACGGGACACTTAAATACATTGTACGTTATCAAAACACATTCTACATTTATTTACATTGAGGGTTAGGTGGCCTTTTGCTGTGGATTATAGGCCATTTTTTTATTTCGGTGCCTCAGGTAATAATTCTGCACAGGTACAAAACCTTCATATGTCATGATTTTCATCTAAACTCAATGACGTCATGTTTGTAAAAGCAGATTTAAGGACGGATAAAGGTTCACCACACTATTTTTGTAAAACGTATTATAAAAAAATAAGGGTTTGATGACTAGTTGTTCTTTTCAGATCTCAGCACCTCACACATACCAATGCAACACATCGGAAAAAACAGTTTAAACAGATTCTAAAGTCCATTGCTGAACAAACAGATGTTTCCATAGTTAAGCAATACAAACGTTTTCAAAACCCATTTTCTTCTAAATGCCATAAGCCTTTGATATAAAATTGTTTATTGACGTGAGGTTCTTCCTGGCGTAAGGACCACAGCAGGATTCCTTTGAGAAACCGGATATGGCGAGTTTTACGAAAATAAAGGTAATATAAAAAAAAAACATTGTCTACAAAATAATAGCATAGCTTTTAAACCTTGATCCAACAAGATATTAAATTGTGACTAAA